AACTCCATAAAACTTAAAAAAGCTGAGGTGTCAACCTCTGGAGAGTTTCAAGGATTTTTATTGTATTTCTCCAGGCCTGACACATCAGCGTTTTTAGTTGTTCTCAGTGTGACACATCGTTAAAATTTTAAACCAATGAAAATATAACAATTAATACAGCTAAGCATTTCATTCCAGTAAAAATCTTTTCCTGTTCCACGTCACTTTTTCAATCTCCTCACAAAACCTAGCCGCTCCTCCCTTCTTAATTGTACAGAGATGTCGGACAAAATTTAGAAAATGGAAAGCTTTCAACTTCTTCCAGCGACGTTTGATCTCGAGCTGTATCTCGATGTCAGTCGGGTCGGATTTGACGATTTATTGCCGAAATGGAGCCCATATTTCAGGATGCGTTTAAGGATATGGAGGGTCTTGAAAAGGGAGCAGCTTTTTCAGCTCTTCTGGATGTGACACGTAAGCTTTTTTATCTTCCAATAAGAACATTTCATTAATATGATTCAGCATTAATTTTTTACACATCATCGTTCCGTTTTACTTTTTTACAGATCATCTTTTTTTCCATCATCTATTTCTGAATAAAAAACATGAAACTCAGATAGATCGAGATTGAAATTTAAAGAAGTACTAAGAGTCTCTCCAGCAGTGACACATCAGCTTTTTAAGCTCTTGTGGGACTGACACATCATTAAAAATAATACCCAATCAAAATATAACAATTAATACAACTCATCTCTCCAGCATGCCACATCAGCTTTCCATGCCACATCAGCTATTTATTAAAAAAAATACATCATTTTAAAAAGACAATCAATCAAATTAAAACATATAATACACATATTTTTTTAATAATAATGATACATGGATTTCTAATTTGTTCAAAGAAAAACAAAATCAAATTATAAATAAAATGAATACACATTAGCTTATGTAATGTTGACACAAGAACAAAAATTCTTATTATTTGATGGAATTGATCAAATATCTAAATATAAACTTTATATCTATAGTTATTTTTACATAACATAAATTCAAAATGATGTCTGTGTAGATATATGTTATGTGTAGATAACATATTATATTATGTCTGTGTAGATATATGTTACATAATATAGTCATGTTATGAATTCTAATATGAGTCATATTATGTCAAGGATACTGAACATGATGCGTTTAACCATTATTGGTTTATATTGGTTTAAGCAGTATTATTAATACTACATTGCATTGCATGATAAATAAAAAAATCGATTGTATTATATACTAACCAGAGTTGATAAATTAAATATTGAAATTTGAAACTCAATATACGAGGAGTTATTTAGCTTATTAAATAACCAAAGCTTATTATTTGTGAGACAGGAGGAAGATTTGGAGAGATTAATTATTTGGGGATAAAGTATTACAACAAATTGATCGATGCTCTCATTAGTAGAGGTAGTTTTTGTCTTTTGCGGTTTATAATAATTTTTAATTTTTTTTTTATGTTTATAATATTGTAATCTCATAAAGTTAATGAAAATACATAATTGTATCAATTTATCCCTATCCAGGGATTAAACCATTTGTGACCTTGAACCATATGGACTATCCTCAAGAACTCGAGAACCGGTTTCAAAGTTGGTTAAACCCCGAGATGCAGTGAGTGGTTAAACATAATTACTAACTAATTTATCCTAATTACTTACAATGGAAATGATCTTATGAACACTATTTTTTTTTTTTGTTATTTTGATAGGAATGAATTTGGTTATTTAGCCAATATATGTTTCAAGCATTTTGGAAACCGAGTTAAATACTGGACCACCCTTAACGAACCAAATCAACAATTAATCTTAGGCTATCTAACAGGTAAATTTCCACCGTCTCGTTGTTCCTCGCCATACGGGAACTGTAGCCAAGGAAATTCCGAAACCGAACCTTTCATAGCCGCGCATAACATGATCCTTGCACACGCAAAAGCGGTTAACATATACCAGACTAAATATCAGGTATTAAACTGGTATACATAAATCTGAATTTCGTGAATTATCGATATAAATATAATGTTTTTGTAGAAAGAACAAAAGGGAAGCATTGGCATTGTGGTACAAACATCATGGTTTGAACCCATTAGTGATTCCAATGCGGATAAAGAAGCTGCCGAGAGAGCTCAATCATTTTACTCTAATTGGTATGTTATATTACTATACATGAAATCATATTATTTTAGATATCAAGTATAGTTCACCCACATATGTAATATGTACTGTCTTATCTATTTGTATTCTAACATACTAGGATTCTAGATCCCGTTATACATGGGAAATACCCAAAAGAAATGGTAAATATTCTTGGACCAGCCTTGCCGCAATTTTCGAGCAATGAAGTGAAGAACTTAGAGAACTCGAGAGCAGATTTCATCGGTATTAATCACTATACAAGTTACTTTATTCAAGATTGTTTGACCTCTGCTTGTAATACCGGATATGGAGCTTTTAAGGCCGAAGGATTTGCCTTTAAATTAGACCGTAAAGGCAATGTTTCTATTGGAGAACTTGTAAGTACATTCATTCATAGGTTCTTTTATTATATTTGCAATTATATATATATTCTAATGTTTTCAATATATTTATTGTATCCATAAGTGACCATTTCTTTTTGTATGATAGACCGATGTAGATTGGCAGCATATTGATCCGGAAGGATTCCACAAGATGCTGAATTATTTAAAAGATAGGTATCCAAAGATACCGATGTTTATAACCGAAAACGGTACAAGACCTCAAATTTAACCAATGATCGAGTTCTTGATCCATATTTGAAATCATCATGAACAATTATTATTAATGGCTTGAAGGTTTTGGAGACTTGCAAAAACCTGAAACAACAGATAAAGAACTTCTAAATGATACAAAAAGGATCCAATACATGAGTGGATACTTAGAAGCTCTACAAGCAGCAATGAGGTAAATAATTTACGTAAATTTGTGGAGAAATTCAATTCTTAATTTTGATCATTTTATCTAATGTCAATTTACTAATTCTATATAAGTTGTGAATTTGTTTTGGTAGGGATGGAGCAAATGTGAAGGGTTATTTTGTGTGGTCACTATTAGACAATTTTGAGTGGTTGTTCGGATACAAGGTTCGGTTTGGTCTATTCCATGTGGATCTGACAACTCTTAAAAGGACACCGAAACAATCAGCTTCATGGTACAAAAACTTTATCGAAGGACACGTGAATCGAAGAGATCTCGTAGATAATCAATAAATACATTAAGTTTTTAATTCGTATTCACTGCAAAAAAGTCAAACTACAAAAAGCATTTTAAGATTTAAACTTATCATTGTTGAATGATTAAATTTGTCTTTTTTCTCCTAAAAGTTTAATGTGTTACATACTTACATGATTATTCGTCTAATCTTGCACAATAATTTTATTAGCTTAACTGTTGAAGAACGCGTGAATAGAAGAGACCTTAGGTTTTTTTTTTTTTTGGGTCAAAGGAAGAAAACTTATGTGTATTCTTAAACAAATAAAGTCAAACTAGAAGAATTCAAAACTTATCATTATTGTTGAATGAATGATTAATGTTTCTTTAGCTTAAAGTGAATGTTTAATGTATTACGGGACTAATTGTCTAAACTTGCACAGTAATAATTCAACACGTTTACTTTATCAAAATAAACCAAAAATTCAACACGTTGTCAACGAAAACTGAAACAAAAACTTCTCTAAGATAACAGTATTAAATCAAAAGTAGTACTACAAAACTAAACAAAACTGTTTTAGATTAAAAAGCACAATATAAAGCATTTGACATCACCTCCAAATTTAATTTTGGAGATCATGTTGTTCATACTAAAATGCGCAATCAAGCGTTTTTAAAGTGTGAATTCTAGATGCGACATCACTTTTTTATTGTTCAGCTAAGTTCTTCTTAATTTGTAGATTAAAAAATATTAAAAATATAAAATAAAATCACTAAACTAACTGATAAATGACAAAATGAAAGAAAAAAGACCTAGTGATAAAACGATCTTTCTGTGTTTTTTTTTTGTCTACGATTTAACGTCATTAACATCTAGAGAAGTTGCTTTACGAAAATAAAATTTTTTATTTATTTGTTTGATTGAAATATGTTAAGATTTTTATTCGCTTCAAATTATGTAAGATATTTTTTTGGTAAAACACACCGAAAATTTTCTGTTGGCAATTTTCTTTCAATATTGTTCTGCGAAATACTCATGATTCAAGTATGACTGTATGAGTCACGACATTTCTATTTAATTTACAAAACTACGTACTAATACACTTTTATTGGTTGAATAGAAAAGTATTGAACATTTCTATTCTGAAAAATAAATCATCTACGTAATGTCTAACTGTGAGTTATTGCTTACGGTTAGTGAATTACATATAGACTATCGATTTAATCAAATACACAATGAGCCATTAAACAATCTAGAGAAAAAGACACATGAACAAATGATGATATCATAAATAACATATAAGCAAAATGGGTCGGAATCAACAGTTACATATATAAATGGTTGCGTGGTTGATGAATTCCTTTGGTATTTTCACGACAAGATCGTTTCTAGGTATATAGAAGTCAACTTCGTTGCCATATAAACTGTATAACACTTAGTCATGACAAATCAGGTTTATTTTTCTAAAAATAAAAATATATGTTACTTTGCAACATTGTTAATCGAGAATTAAAAATTTCAAAACGTTGCGTGGTTGAGTTAATCGTATATGGTCTCCATCGCTGATATCTTCAATTTCTCTGAATTAATCTTCATACAGCTGTATTATAAAGACCTAGGAAAGAAAACAGATATACTAGTAACCTAGAATCAAGAAAAGAAAAACAGCTATAGAGTTGAATAATAAGAAGAAGAAGATGATATTTTTTAAACCCATTAGAATCATCATTTTTTCTTTCCTATTTTTCATATTTCTTGTGGTGTACGCAACCTTGTTCTGCGATTTTCTTTCAGAGACTGGTAACTTCAAAAGAAGTAAGTTGAGATACGAAACTTCCGACGATAGTTATGAAGCTAGGAGTAGCCACGTCACGAGACCTATCCTCAGCCGCCAGATCACCAACCCCTTCACCGAAGCAGTCAACGTTCTCCGCCGCACTACAACTTCTTGTACGAAACCGTAAGTTTTTTCTTTTTACTTGCATTTTTAGTATGTTGCAAAAAAATTTAGTTGTTTAATAGTAAAAGATAAAGTTATAAATTAGTCGTGTGATTCGTGCCATAGAATTGTAAATTATGGCGACGGATATTAAAATATTTAACACGCGTGTATTATTTAAGACATTTATAAATGAACATGTTTGTCGTTAAAGAGTTATAGTATATCAGTAAATTAATTAATTAATTAATGTTTCACACGGTCAATAACATGAAATATATGGATTTTGAATCCGAAGCATAGTAACAACAATATTACAAACTATTACGCTATAAATTATAGTCATGATATTTTTACTATCTGACGTCCATATTTTTATATTTTATATAATAATAATCAGCGTTATATATCTAGAAAGTAAAATCAGTGAAATAATAACTTACGAAATTAGATGGAGTTGTTATAGGCACACGTTCATATATTAAATTTTAATGATATTCTTATAAACTTTATGATAATGCATGTACAGATGCTTTTTTGGTTATAATATATATGTAAAAATTTGGTATGCTTTGTCTATATTCGGTAGGTAGAAATTGGGGAATTTTAAAATAGTAGACAAGACTACCCCCAAAATCTCAATAATGCATTTAAAATATTCTGAAATTTTCATATAAATATAGAAACGTATAGATAAGAGCACACACCAAAACCACAGAAGACATACACGAGAAAAAAAAAGATGAAAAGTTTTGCCAACTTTGCAATTCCGTTTTTATTACAAAGCTTATTGTTTCCTCTTTACAGTTCATGTCTTCATCAAACTTCAGATGATTCATCTCTATTTCCTTCTGATTTCTTCTTTGGCACAGCTTCTTCTGCTTTCCAGGTACCTTTTTTTTTTTTTCTTTCTTTTTATATTTCTGCTTGTAATAATCAGATTTTGGAGTCAGTTTATAATTTTTGTTTTTGTTTTTATTTGATATATATAGTATGAAGGTGCCTTCTTAACCGATGGAAAAGGTCTGAACAATTGGGATGTCTTTGCCCATGAAAACCCTGGTATGTGTTTATTTTGGATTCTGTCTATGGTTAGTTTGGTTTGGAGAGAATCTTGAAGAATGTGGAATTTGAACTAACTTGGACTTTAAGTTGATTTTAAGATAATAAGCTAAACAATTTTTATGTTTTGAATGAGTCTTGTGGATTAGTTCTGGGTTCAAATTAAGTTTGTAGTCATTTATATATCCATGCATATCATATTTAAATTAAATTACAGTTTAGCTTTCTTTGATTGGTTGTCGACAAAGTTTTCATCTTATAAATGCCATGTTGATTCCATTGACAATATTATATTAAAAATGCAGGGAAAATAGTTGATGGGAGCAATGGAGACATAGCCACGGATCAATATCATCGATATATGGTTAAAAAAATTTCTTTATAATATTTTATACCTTTTTCCTAATATATATTTATTTATTGGATAAATTATCCACTTTATATGTTTTTTCTTCTTTATTTTATTGACATCTATCTACTATACGTGATTACAGGAAGATATCCAATCAATGTCTTTTCTTGGAGTCAACAGTTACAGATTATCAATTTCCTGGTCTAGAGTCTTACCTAGTAAGTCTTTATTTTCTTAATCATGATTGTAATAATTAAATTCGGTTAAATTTAAACTTCTACCATCAATCGATTGGTTCAGATATCTAAACCGGAAACAAAATGTTTAAACTTTAAAATGTGTATCTTTTCTTTTGGTTATGAAATTAAAATACCTTTGCATTTGGGAAAATACAGATGGAAGATTTGGAGGTATTAATTATAAGGGAATAAAGTATTACAACAATTTGATCGACGCTCTCATTAGAAAAGGTAATATTTACTCTCCCTTCTTCTTAAATTTTAATTTAGTATCTAATGAAGCATTAAATATATACAGAGATTTAACTTCAAAAGATTACTATGAATTCATGTAAATGTTTACAGGGATTACACCATTTGTGACGTTGAACCATTTCGACTATCCTCAAGAACTCGAGAACCGGTTCAAAAGTTGGTTAAGCTCCGAGATGCAGTGAGTTTATAAATTAAGTCTCTAACTATTTTACCATAACTAAAACTAATTCTTTAAGTGTTTTTAATTCAGGAAAGATTTCGCGTACTTAGCTGATATATGTTTTAAACATTTTGGAGACCGAGTTAAACACTGGATCACGATTAACGAACCAAACCAACAAATAATCTTAGCCTACCGAAGTGGTTTATTTCCACCATCCCGGTGCTCCATGCCATACGGAAATTGTACTCAGGGGAACTCGGAAACTGAGCCTTTTATAGCCGCTCATAATATGATCCTCGCACATGCAAAGGCGATTCAAATATACCGAACCAAATATCAAGTAACAATAACCAATATACTATCTAGCTATATGATTTATACTATATATTAATTTGTACGTATTATATTGATATAAATTCGATGTTTTTGTAGAAAGAACAAAGGGGAATCATTGGCATTGTGGTACAAACATCATGGTTTGAACCCATAAGCGATTCGATTGCGGATAAAAATGCTGCAGAGAGAGCTCAATCATTTTATTCAAATTGGTATGTTATATTATAACAAGTCAGATCAAAATATTCATCATATATGAGTTTGTATAATTCACATATTCATGTTTTCTTGTCTAATGTGTACTAATACCAGGATTCTAGATCCCGTTGTATATGGGAAGTATCCGGAAGAAATGGTGAATATACTTGGATCAGCTTTGCCGAGATTTTCGAGTAATGAAATGAATAGCCTAAATAATTACAAATCAGACTTTTTGGGTATTAATCACTACACAAGTTACTTCATCCAAGATTGTTTGATCACTGCTTGTAATTCTGGATCTGGAAATGGAGCTTCTAAAACCGAAGGATTCGCCCTCAAATTAGACCGGAAAGGCAATGTTTCAATCGGTGAACTTGTAAGTCCATTTGTGTATATATATTTTCTGAAGTTTTTGTTGGACTCTCCAGTACATTATTGTGCTTTCTAACATTATTTTTGAAATGCTTGGTTTTTTGTACATGATAGACTGACGTCAATTGGCAGCATATTGATCCTGACGGTTTCAAGAAGATGTTAAATTACCTTAAAAATAGGTACCACAACATGCCAATGTTCATCACAGAAAATGGTACAATTACCTCATGCTTTTGGGTTATTTACATATATTTTTAAAAAATGTATTTGAACAATAATTATCAATGGTTTGTAGGTTTCGGAAACTTGCAAAAACCCGAGACGACGGTTAAAGAACTTCTGGATGATACAAAAAGGATACAATACATGAGTGGATATTTGGATGCTTTGAAAGAAGCAATGAGGTATGTGAATTGTATATTTAATTAGTTGATAAACCAATTCATATATTCATTGAATTCAAAGACATAGAGATATTGAATCTAAGATATAATTAATTAGTGTAAACTTTGTTGTAGGGATGGAGCAAATGTGAAGGGATATTTCGCATGGTCACTATTAGATAATTTCGAATGGTTGTACGGATACAAGCTTAGATTTGGTTTATTCCACGTTGATTATACAACTCTGAAAAGGACACCAAAGCAATCAGCTTCATGGTACAAGAACTTCATTGAACAGCACGGTAATATAGGAGATAACAGGGAAAAATAATATGTAGATAAACTAATAATGAATTAGTGTTTATAATCAAAGGAAGACAAAATTAGGAAGGCTTAATTAAAAAGCTTCTCATTTTTTTGTTTGGATGTGTATTGTGTATGGTATAAGTAAATAATTGGTTTGCTAATCTTGCACAACAGTTTTATTACAAAAATCAGTGTACAAGAAAATTCGGGTTACACATCTATTTAAATTGTTTTATGGAAATAATTGTTGTTGGCAATCAAGAATATAAATAGAAAGTTACATTGCTTAGTTAATTGATGAATTGTTTCAGTTTCTCATGCTGAGGCCGATAATCATTTTAATCAACAAACTCTGTCATGACTTCCCTCTTATATATTTTGTAGAGTTTTAATTTGTTAAGAATAATGCGATTAACTAAAAAGATGGAAGGTTCACCTATTGAATTATGTTTGTTTTGCAAATTCGAAGACAAACGACAACTTATATTTGCAGTGACTAAATCGTTGTTGCTGTCACTATCGCTAGTCGTATTGATATCGACTGTTACTGAATATAATGAACATTAAAACTCATTTTTTACGTTACATATATAGGTAGTATTCTACTCAATTTGTTTAAATCAAATCTGTATATTGTATATGTGTGTGTGGAAATTTAATAGCAATACACAACTCATTCAAATCGATGGAGTATATTCAATATGTTTTGCCCGAAAAAAAGCCGAGTGGTTGAGCAATTCCTATGGTATGCATTTATTTATTGTTTATGGTTAACAGTTATTTTAATATGGGGGTCGTCGAACTAAGGTATCAAAACTAATTATACAAACTAATATCTAAATGATCAAAATCACTAACTAGCTAAAACTAAATCCTTAATAAAAAAAGATGTTACCTAAAAGAAAATATAGAATTTTGAATTGGTAAGGATTTAGTTTAATTAATTATTTTGCTAATATATAAAGTGCATATAGACACAGAAGACAACACCAAAAGTTAGAAGGCAAACACAAACACGAGAGAGGCAGACAAAATGGGAAACTTATCGATTTTCCTATTGGCCATTTTATTACAAAGCTTAATGTTTAATGTATATTGTTCATGTCTTAATCAAAGTTCTTCAGAGAACATTTTAGGAGATTCATTTACATTTCCTTCTGATTTTCTCTTTGGCACTGCTTCTTCTGCGTACCAGGTAATTCTTTATCCTTAAGTCTATTTTGGATTCAAATTCGAATTTCAATTTATGTTAATGCTTGTTCTTGCTTTTCTTAATTATTTGATGTAAATAGTATGAAGGTGCTTTCTTGACCGAAGGAAAAGGATTGAACAATTGGGACATATTTACGCATGAATATCCTGGTATGTATTGATTTCTGGTTTGATTCGGTTTAGTTTCGGTTAAGATTATTGAGTTTGGAGAATATCATGAACAAATGTAAAATACAACTAATCCAAATTACTTTGTTCTGGTGTTTGGATTAGCTTCGTCAATCCCATTACGAATACAGATTTAAGGTTTAATATATAAGATCAGGACAACTACTCGTCATGTATGTTGTTGACAAAGTAGCTGCTAATATATATGTGTTAATCTATATCTGTATGAATATAATAACAATTAGTTACTTAATTAATTTTTTAATTTCAATATATATATTTCAGGCAAAATACGTGATGAGAACAATGGAGACATGGCTGTGGATCAATACCATCGATTTATGGTCAAATAACTTTCTAATAATAATTTTGTGTTTTTTGTTTCTACTTAGGAAATGTGATTAATTTTATTTTGTCTACTAATGGTTACAGGAGGACATCCAATTAATGACTTCGCTTGGGGTCAACAGTTACAGATTTTCAATTTCTTGGTCTAGAGTCTTACCAAGTAAGAAGTTTTTTTTTTTGTTTTTTTTTTTAAAATATCATAATGACTTGATTATTAATAATTTCGTTAGAAATATATTCGTACCGGTTAAAAGAAAACAATTTAATTTGCTAGATAACTAAATTTGCTAGAAAATTAGCAAAAAAGAAAAAAAAAAGTAAGGCAAAGACCATAAATAAATGATGTATTTTTTGTGATTTTAAAAGATAACATGATATATCATATAAAATAGCATGATATTTGCGAAATAATAGTAAATACTAAATACACATGATAAATGAACCAATTTCGTGCAAGAGGAATTCATTAGGTCTCAATAATAATAATAAAAAAGGGTAAATGAACCAATTTATTTACGATTTTTGATATTTCGTATGTGAAATTGTTTCTAAAAAGAGTAAGTTTTGGCTACTTAGTACTGTACATATTTTCAAAAATAATCTACCATTAATCAATTGGTTTGGAAATCGGTTATTCAGTTATAAGGTTTGTTTTCAGATTACCAAAAAAAAGAAGTTAAAAGGTTTGTTTTTTTGGGAGACAGGAGGAAGATTTGGAAGTATTAATTATTCGGGAATAACGTATTACAACAGATTAATCGACGCTCTCATTAGTAGAGGTAAAAATGTTTGTCATTAACTATTCTTACTCGTAATTAATATTTTTATTTGAACTAATCATCAAAACTAATATTTTCTGAAGATTTAACTAGATGGTAATTGGCAAATGTATCCAGGGATCAAACCATTTGTGACGGTGAACCATTTGGACTATCCTCAAGAACTCGAAAACCGGTTTCAAAGTTGGCTGAGCCCCGAGATGCAGTGAGTGGTCAATTAGAATCTGTAAAATTTTAAATAAAATCAGACCAATCAAAATAATCTCTAATTTCATCTTTCGAATTTTGAAGGAAAGATTTCATGTACTTGGCTGATACATGTTTTAAACATTTTGGTGACCGAGTTAAACTCTGGACAACATTAAATGAACCAAACAACCAAATAATCCTGAGCCATCTAAAAGGCACATTTCCACCGTCTCGCTGCTCCTTACCATATGGAAACTGTAGTCAAGGGAACTCGGAAACCGAGCCTTTCATAGCTGCGCATAACGCAATCCTCGCACACGCAAAGGCGGTTCACTTATATCGAACTAAATATCAGGTAACTAAGAAACCGATCGATATTTTGTTTATAATTATCTGTTATTTCGGTCTAAATGTCGACAGAAATATGATGCATATTAGGAAGAGCAAAAGGGAATCATCGGCATTGTGGTGCAAACATCATGGTTTGAACCCATCAGTGATTCTATTGCGGATAGAGAAGCTGCAGAGCGAGCTCAAGCTTTTTATTCCAATTGGTATGTTCCATAATGATTACTAAGATCTAAACTCCACATACTAAATATTCGCATGTACCAGGATTCTAGATCCGATTATAAACGGAAAATATCCAAAAGAAATGGTGAATATACTTGGATCAGCCTTGCCGAGATTTTCAAGAAAGGAAGTCGAGAATTTAAAGGAGTCGCAGCCAGATTTTGTGGGCATTAATCACTATACAAGTTACTTCATTCAAGATTGTTTGTTATCATCTTGTAATATTGGAGATGGAGCTTCGAAAGTGGAAGGATATGCACTCAAGTTGGACCGAAAGGGCAATGTTACCATTGGAGAACTTGTAAGCACATTTTCATCATTTCCATAATAGTATATATAGCTACTTAACATTACACTTGATTTTTTTTATTTTTTTTTGGTGATAGACTGATGTAAATTGGCAGCACATTCATCCTGAAGGATTCCGGAAAATGTTGAATTACCTAAAAGATAGGTACCACAACATACCGATGTTCATAACGGAAAACGGTACAAGACCTCACGGCTCAAATAATGATCGAGTCATGATTCATATGTTTTTGGAATGTACATTTGACCGATGCAAATTGGTATTTATAGGTTTCGGAGACTTGCAAAAACCCGAGACAACTGTAAAAGAACTTCTAAATGATACAAAGAGAATACAATACATGAGTGGATACTTGGATGCTTTGCAGTCAGCAATGAGGTAAAGAGACTATGAATTGTGCAGTGAGCCAACTTATGATCTTAATTACATATAGTTAACCTTTGAACCAATTTATCTATTTCAAACTAATTTTTATAGTAAATCTTCTGTGACTTTTGTGTAGGGATGGCGCAAATGTGAAGGGATATTTCGCATGGTCACTATTAGATAATTTTGAGTGGTTGTATGGATACAAGCTTCGATTTGGGCTATATCACGTTGATCCCGTAACTCTCAAAAGGACACCAAAACTCTCAGCTTCATGGTACAAAAACTATATTGGAGAGCAAATTAGAAGAAGATATGATTAGATATAAACATATGATTATTTCTCTTCTATATAACAAGAATCTCCTTACCATCTTGTGCTAAATTTAGAGCACACATTTTGCTGGATTTTGGCTTTAATGAAATCGAGTATTTCGCTTGGTTCAATCTTTATCGTATACCATCTCATTCCGATGCAGTTCTGCGATTAACAGATTTGTTTGCATGGAAAAAACAATATCACAACTATAAAAAAATGAACAAAAGAAATGAAGTTAGACTCTTATTAGAAGTTTTAAATTAAAAGTTTGCATTAAATTGTATAAACGTTATTTTCACGTTAAGGTTCCAAACAAAAAATGAACGAAATCCACTTCTTTTTCACGTTAAGGATCCAAAAAATTTCATATCTATAGTGGAAGATTGTTAAAACCTTGACTTTTGTATAACAAATAATTTTAAAAGTCTCCATTTGCCAGAAAAAATGACCTTAATTAGTTCAATCCGAACAATTTTCATCATAAACTTTTTAAGACATTTAGATTCGATCGTATGTAGCAAAACAAGTGGCAAATTAAGTCTCTCTTGTTTCAAAGTGGTGATTTGAATTTTCAGATTTCGAATTTTTAAACAAAAAATATATTTCCTCGGTTTTGAAAACTGACTATTGATATGAGATTGTGCTTGCAAGATAATTTTCAGAGACAAATCGTGGGAGACCACGGGGAGATCCAAATTCGACGGAGGAGATGCCTTGAAGTGGATATGTATGTCATCCAAAATGACGAAAGCTATATGCGAAGAAAAGTTGGATTCTTTATGTACGTGGAAAGACAAAATCCACTTCATTTACACGTTAATAATCCATTAATAACTATCTTGCATAGTAGGATAATTTTATACCGGACAAAAACCATACGCAAAGAAAAGTTGCATGGAAAGAACATTATGACAACTACAAAGAGAAGGACAAAGTTCACTCCGTTTTCACATTATATAAGAATCCAATCATTTCATATGTATTGGATTGTTAAACATTTGATTTCTGTATAACAACACTTTTAAAAGACCTTAACAGAGATACAATAAAGAAAGACCGGGAGCCACCATGGATAATGATTGTGGAATATTTCATATGATGGAGAAAGATGGTAAATTATCCTTGGTATATCGCCATCCCATACCACAAACTCGAAGTCCAACCTCTGCCGGTGAAACAGCCAGTAGCGATGATACCCTTCTTCAACCTTTTTTCTTATGTCCTAGAACACAATGGAAAAAAGACTTTCCACTTACCATAAAACTTTCTTCAATTACCAATGTCCCATTCGGTTCTATGATAAGTTACGTCTTTTTTTTATATGCTGGTGAGGGTCATTCAGTACTCCCTTTGTTTTGGTGCAACAATAAAGAATTTGATGTCAATGGTGGATGCAGTGCATGCGAAGGCTCATATTTTGGTACTGATTATTATTTCTGTGATTATTGTAATCAAATGTATCACAAAGAATGTGTTGAGTCTCCACTTAAAATAAAACACCCTTACCACCCTGAGCACCCTCTCCAACGTTATATTCATCCTCCTTTTGGTCACAATAATGAGTGTTTATGTTGTGGAAGAATAGCATTCGGTCAGGTATATTATTGTTCCATATGTAGGGTTTTCATGCATCCAATATGTGCGATGAAGTCGATACCTATGGTTATAGACAAACCAAAAAGGCATGATCATCCTCTCACTTTTTTCCCTAGACAAAATTCTTTAATCTGCAACGTTTGTGGTTTGTTAAGAAAACTTTATTCCACATACATATGTGCCATATGCAACTTTGTAGCCCATAAAGATTGTATGTATTCTCCACGCATAATCAAGATATCACGTCACCCCCATCGTCTCTCCTACATGTCGTCTCTACAATATGGAGATTGGTCTTGTATGGTATGTCATCAAAGGATTGACGGTGATTATGGTGCATATAGTTGTGATATGTGTGGTGATTATGTTGTTCATTCAAGATGTGCTCTAGGAAAAGATATATGGGATGGTGAAGATCTCGAAAATGTACCTGAAGAAGATAATAACTCACAAGATGTCGGGCCATTTGATATGATATCTGAAGGAGTAATACTTCATTTTCTTCATGAACATCATCTCCAGCTCGAAGTCAGCATACTTTATGACGAAAACAAGTTTTGTCAAGCGTGTGTTCTTCCTATCTTTGATGGTAATTTCTACTCATGTATGGAGTGTGATTTCATCCTCCATGAAACATGCGCAAATTCTCGCCGTATAATACAACATGCATTACATCCTCATCAGCTTACATTGGACCATGTGCAGAATGATTTTTGTAGATTCATGTGCAATGCTTGTGAACGTTTTTGTGGTGGCTTTATTTATGGATGTCACATAGGGGACTGCAAATTCTATCTCGATGTACGGTGTGCTTCCATTTATGAGCCATTTAATTATAAATATCATGAACATCCCATGTTCATCGCTTCAGATCCAAAAGAAGAATTACTTTGCCAGGTATGCAAAACAAGATGTCATAAACAATTAAATTGCAGCAAATGTGATTTTATTATATGCATCAAGTGTGCTACCTTGCCAGAAAAAGTAAGGTATAAACATGACAAACATTTTCTCAAAGTTTTATTTGGAGAAGAAATATGTAAGAGAGACTGGTGCGAGATATGTGAACGTAATTTAAGAGATACACACACAAAATGTTTCTATTGGTGCGACGAGTGTGGCACCACATTTCATATTGAATGCTTACTTGGTGGAGATCTACTATATGTGAAGCCTGGTCAAACTTTAAAGTTTGTTGAGAGGGATGCTCAAATTCTTGGTAAAAGTAATACTTCTCGACCATTATGCATGAACCGGGATTGCAAGAACCCTTGTCAAGGCAAAATATTGAAGAGTTTCAACGATATAGTATGTTCAGTTAAATGTGGAAATAAATTCTTTTATTGAGTCTATTGTGTTTATCTATTTCTCTATTTAAGTGTAATTTTAGTTTTTATAATTAAGTTTGATTTGTTAAACTTTGACATTGACATGTAAAATTTCATGTTTGTTTCTTTGATGGTATATTTACTTTGTCGATTCTTACTTTCTAATCATTTCATCATCCTTTAATCGAATTACATCCCTGTCTCCTTCTACAGTCTTGAGTTTTCATTCACAAAATCTTTGGTTAGCCGTTCAATGATTACCAAGTTTATTCGAGATGCTCCCATTGTGATTTCTCCTTCTCGCGGTTATCTGTAGCGGCAGATCGTCGAGGACTCATGAGGATTGGAATGGAAGAGGTTGTCGTCTCATGGGAGAGTTTCCTCGACATCTCCGTCTTCCCTTAAGCTCTTTTTATGGTAGATATTTGTCGAGTATTCAATCTAGAGCAAAAAAGTGGGGAAAATCAACAAACATTGATCAAGAAGATATCATATCTTATATTTTAGGAATTGAGGGCTCTACTCTGTGTTACCTTAAGTATAGTTGTTTCTTGGATATATCTAAACTACTTATTTCAAGACAAGCATTTGAAATTGCGTTATGTAGTGCTGTTTCTAATGCTCAATTTCAAATGCTCTGTTAGGTTAGAAATTTTCAGGTGATGTTGGCTAAATAAAACTCTTGTGAAGTAAGAAAACGCATCACACAATCTGTTTGCTACTTTCATTTCTTATTTTACACTTCTTTCGTCATTGCTTGCACTTCAAGGGCGAAACATGTCAACAATCATCTTCTGGAAATTCGGGTTCAACAATCTCTTCATTAACTATATATAAAAAAAAATTCATTTAAGAGAACCAGCGTCATCAACTGCAAAGCTTTATCCAAGTTTGCTTCATTGCAGCGAACAGAAAGGCAGAGTTGTTGTAAGATAATCTTAATTGTGCAATCAAACTTTTGTTTTGATTTCGCTTAACGGTGTTTGTTACAATTTGAGACATCTAAAACCCTAATTGTCACATGTGCTCTTAGCACATGATACACGATCCATGAAGATCCAATCGGTTATATAGGATGATTTGATCCATAATACAACTCACACTTCTTTTGCTGCATTGCTTTGAGTTACCTGCCTCTGTTTTTTCGTTTCTTGCAGGTGAAGAAAACAGTTAAATTCGTTTGTAAAAGTGACATCGTTTTGTTGTTTTGCAGGTTTGGCTGAAGGAACGATGCCGTTTTGAGGAGCCTCTGCATGATGCATCCGTTGGAGTCTTGTCCTTTTGTGAGGATGGTAAATATTTCGTTTTGGGTTTGCTAATTTTCAGGATTGGAGTTCAGAGTAAAGTTTTTGATTATCTGGAAAGCAATATTTATTTTCAAAACATGAAAATCTTAAGAAAATGTTTCATAACATAATCTTTTGTTTTAATGAATGTTTCATAACATAATTAATTTTAGTTTGTTTATCATTAATCATAAACATCTTCTTAAGCTAAAGTCAACTATATGCACGTCTTTTAATTTGTTTTCATTTTTAATCTCTAGAGACTAATCAATTGATTTTAGCCTTCTACAGCTTCTAGCTGTCAATTGTAATGCAATAATGCCTAAGTTTATTTTTTTCAATTAATCAAAGACCAAGACTTCTTTACTGAAAAAATTTATTAAAGAAGTCTTCTTTAATTAATCAATTGATACAGCGTTATTGGACGTGAGCCCCACCATACTAAATGGTCACAACAAGAACAGATCTCAAAGATTGTATATAATTGGTGATGAAAGATTGAAAGGTATGCTATAACTTTTAGAACAACGGAATTTTACAACCAAAAAAAAAAAAAACGTTACAAATTTTTGTCAATCATAGTGAAACGCTAAATGATCTAATAAATGAATAATTTGTGTGGATATCAACATCAAATGTGATGATTTAAAAATATCTTGAAAAAATCAGGGTAATAATTATTGTAGATAAAACACATGATTGAGCTAAAGATTGAACTAAATAAAAAAAGAATTGAGAATGAAAATAGATAATGATATTATTTTTAGTGTGCTGACCGAATTTTAAAAAAAGTTGGTGTATTTTAACGCCGCAAAAAAACAACCTGTATTTTACATTCTAAGAAAAATATTTAATTTACATCACAGAATCGTTAAGTGTTAGAAATACACTACACATTACACAAACACACATAGAAATGATACTTAAATCTCAAATAGCTGAAATATTAACTCTAAAAACTGCATATATAAATATATGTATATATAACTTTTTTTTTTTGGGCGTATATATAACTATAATATAAGTAAGAGAAGACACATTGGTTTTTTTATACGAAAAATTTATGAAAGACCATAACTCAAATCCAATTGAAAATAAAGACTGCATCGAGGTGTAAACAGCGAATGAAAATCATTTTTTATTTGCCGATTAACCAAGTGTCTCAAGTTGACAGAAAAAAAAAACAAAAATCTCAACTGGCTCAATTATTGATCACGAAATAAATAAAAAATATCTGATCAACAAATAATTTTAGAAAGGACGAAAACCATGTGCAAGACTAGTCAACTTTGATTTGTTTGTATGTATTTATGTGAGAGAAGCAGAGAAAACGAACATCCTATCACAACCAAAAAATCTCTCACCCAAAATAAAAGAGAGAACAAAACTATCAAAATCATTGAGAGAGTAGCCATGAATTCGATCGGTGGATTTCATGAGCTGGAAAACGATGGTAAACTATATGCACGTCTTTTAATTTGTTTTAGTTTTTAATCTTTAGAGACTAATCAATTGGTTTTAGCCTTCTAGCTGTAATGCAATACCAAATACTTTAGTAAGTACTAATTTTTCAGTTAATCAAAGACCAAGACTGCTTTACTGGTAAATTTATTACATGTCTTTTTTAACTAATCAATTGATACAGCGTTATTGGACGTGAACCCCACCATACTAAATGCTCACAACAAGAACAGATCTCAAATGCATTATCTCTTAGTTGACAGAAAAGAAAAAAGAAACAAAAATCTCAAGTGGCTCAATTATTGATCACGAAATAAATAAAAAATATCTGATCAACAGATAATTTTAGAAAGGACGAAAACCATGTGCAAGACTAGTCGACTTTGATTTGTTTGTATGTATTATATGTGAGAGAAGCAGAAACCGAACATCATATCACAACCAAAAAGTCTTTCACCCAAAAGAAAAGAGAGAAAAAAAACTATCCAACTTACTGGTGGAGTAGCCATGGATTCGATCGGTGGATTTTATGAAGCGAAAAACGATAAACTATCTATGGTGTATTATCACCCCAAATACCAACCCATACCACAAACACAAACCCCAACCTCCCCCTTTGGTGAAACAGTCAGCGATGACCTTTCTTTTGAACTACTTTTCTTATGTCCTATACCACGGATATTGAAAGAAAAGCCCGATTCCGATTTCAATACTTTTCCGATCAGTTCTTCCCCAGAATACGTCATTTCTACAACAAGAAGTCAACATGAAGATGATCATTCAGTTCTCCCTTTGTTTTGGTGCAAGAATAAAGAATTCGATGTTGATGGTGGTTGCGGCATATGCAGCGGCTCAAATTTTGGCACAGACTATTGTTTATGTGTCAAATGTGATAAAATTTTCCACAAAGAATGCGTCCAATCCCCATCTAAAATCAGACATCCTTACCATCTCGAGCATTTTCTCCAACTTTCCTATAGACATGTTAATGCTCCCAGGATAAAGTGTTTCTCTTGTGGAGGAAGTGCAAGAGATCTGGTATATTATTGTACCACATGTGAAGTTGTAATGCACACAGTATGTGCGATGAAGTCGATACTCTTCGCTGGATTTCATGAGGTGGAAAACGATGGTAAACTATCTATGGTATATCATCACCCCATACACCAACCCATACCACAAACACAAACCCCAACCTCCCCCTTTGGTGAAACAGCCAGGGATGACCTTTCTTTTCAACCATTTTTCTTATGTCCTATCCCACGGATTTTTAAAGCATGGTCCAATTCCGATATTTATCCGGTCACTTATTCCCCGGAATACGTCATCTCTACAACAAGAAGTCAACATGAATATGATCATTCAATACTCCCTTTGTTTTGGTGCAACAATAAAGAATTCGATGTTAATGGTGGTTGCTACGTATGCTTGGGCTCAAATTTTGGCACAGATTATTATGTCTGTGTCGAACATGATAAAATTTTCCACAAAGAATGCGTCCAATCTCCATCTGCAATTAAACACCCTTATCATCCGGAGCATTCTCTTCGACTTTCCTATCGTTTGCTAATGGCTCCCAAGATAGAGTGTTTATGTTGTGGAAGAATAGCAACAAATCTCGTATATTATTGTACCAGATGTGATGCTGCAATGCATACAATTTGTGCAATGAAGTCGATATCCTTCGTTGTAGACCAACCAAAGAGCCATGACCATCCCCTCACTTTTTTTCCCAGACAAGCTTCCTTAACTTGCGACGTTTGTGGTCTAATCAGAAAAAACAATCCCACCTACGTGTGTCTTCGATGCAACTTTGTCGCTCATAACGATTGTATGTATTCTCCACGCATCATCAAGATATCACGTCACCATCATCGCATCTCCTACACTTCTTCTCTCCAATCCGAAGAATGGTCTTGTGGAGTTTGTCGTAAAAGTATAGATGGTGATTATGGTGCATATACTTGTAACAAGTGTGATGATTATGCTGTTCACGTAAGATGTGCTCTACGAAGAGATGTCTGGGATGGAGTTGAGCTCCAAGGTGTACCAGAAGAAGATGATATAACAAAAGATGCTGGGCCGTTCGAGATAATATCTGAAGGAGTGATACTTCATTTCCTTCATAACCATCATCTCCAACTTGAGGTTAGCATACTATATGATGAAAAGAAGATTTGTCAAGCATGTGTCCTTCCTATTTATGAGGATACTAATCATTACTCTTGTATGGAATGTGACTTCACCATCCACGAAATATGCGCAAAAGATCGGCGAAGAATACAACATGCGTTACATCCTCATCCACTTACATTGAGTGGCGTGAGTAAATATGGTTCGGGTAACTTCAAGTGCAATGCTTGTGCTCGTTATTGTTGTGGCTTTGTCTATATGTGTCCGAGAAAGGAATGCACCTTCGATCTAGACGTACGATGTGCTTCAATTTGTGAACCGTTTAACTTCCAAGGTCATAAACATCAATTGTTCCTAGCTTTAGGCCCAGGAGAAAACCCCATTTGTCAAGTGTGCAAATCAGAGAGTCTTATACCATTAAATTGCATCAAATGCGATTTTATTGTATGTTTCAAATGTGCGACGTTACCATATAAAGCAAAGTATAAGCATGACAGACACTATCTCACAATTTTGTGGGGAGAAGAGGTATGTAATAAAGATTGGTGCGAGGTGTGTGAGCGTAATTTAGAAGATACAGGCACTAAGTTATTCTATTGGTGCAACGAGTGCTGCACTACTCTTCACATTGCTTGCTTATTTGATGACGAGCCATATGTGAAACCTGGTCAAACTTTGGAATGGAGAGGGAAGGAAGTCAAAGTTCGTAGCAAAAATAATCTTTCTCGACCTCTTTGTGATTCTTGTGAGTACCCTTGTCAGGGCAAAATATATTCGGGAGACAACGGCATAGCGTGTTCTTTGAAATGTGCTCGTGATTTGTTTTAGTTTCCTCTGAAGATGAGAATCCAGTAAGTTAATTATATAGTTATCTCTCTATATTCATGTAATTTTGTTTCTTCTTTTTTGTTTTGTTTTGTTGTTAAAGATGTAATTTGTTTCTTCTTTAATTCATATATATCCGACTTTGTGGTTTGTTAAGCTTCGACTCTAATGCTACTATTTTGCCATGTCGTGGGGATTAATTAGGATGTGAGAGTTCCGTCTAAGTCTCAGCTACGGAGCTGATGATCTGAACCACCATCCAATTCAATCACCATCGGCGTCTCCATTCGGATAACTTCGATGTCTTCGTCGTGTTCTTCTCCATCTGCTGTGGAGGATCACGCAACGTTGAGATTGGAATCATACTGTGGTGGTTGAATTGAAGGGAATTGGAGATGGCGATGAAGGTGTTATAGAGAATGTTGGATTAGAGATGAGAGTTGAGAAACGTAGGGAGCCTTTGCGACCAGTTTACATTGATGAAAGCGGTTGGTTCGGGTCAGCAGTACGATGGTGTAGGCGTTTTAACAAGGCAAATGCGGTATGAGATGTAACGCTACAATGGGTTCAAATCAAGAAATAAATTAGATATGGTTTCGTTATTGAGCAATTCTCTTTTGAGTCCATGTTGATGGCCCTGTTCGGGAGAGAGTCGCAGCGATAGCTGCTTGCGATCAAAAACTTGCCTTTGCTTCTCTTCCATTTCTTTTTTATCTCACTTTAATTCCTGCCGCAGCGACTTCAATTTAACGATTTTGGAGTCGCTGGAAAAAACAGCAGCACAATCTAAGCTTTAATTTGAAAGGAGCGACAGTCGCTGGATCTTAAAAGTTGAATTGCCATTGATAAAGATTTGCAGATCTGTAGAATTTTATCTTCATCTCCAGCGTAAAAATAGATATTTTGTTGGGAATTTACTAATTTATAGATATACCCCTTAAACTACTCATTATTACAAAACTCACCTGTAAAAAAAATAAAAAAAAAATACAAAATTCAGTCGCCGGTTTTAGTCGCGCGACTGTTAAAAGAACAAGGCCGATGTCTTTCTTTGATTATTTCTCCGACTCTCCAGTCTCCATATATCCCCTGTTTTTTTTTTTTTTTTTCTATATAGCCTCCTACGTAGCAAAAGAGAGCATACATTAAACAATTGTAGAAGAAGATATTAGATATAAATTAATGGATCTCTCCAAATCTATTTGCATCATTACTTGTTCTATCTTCCTTTTCAGTTTTCTTGCGATTAACTTATTGCCAACACCACCCGTTTCGACGCAAAGAACTTCACAAGCGGTAGAGCATATACAAATCAAATCTAAACTCGCTTCTCTCGAATCTCTCCACCTCTTCGGACTCATTCTATGTGTTGAGAATTGACTCTTTGATTGTTTCTACAAAAGAAAGAGATAACAAGAATCAGAGGAAGGTGATTGATGAGAAGCACAAGAATTGAGAAGAAGAAGAAGAAGAAGAAGAAGAAGAAGATTTGGACAAAGAAGAGATCGGAGAAGAAGAAGCTGAATTAGTCAATTAAGTTTTGTGTTTACGGATTAGTTGGGTTTGGTTTTGTTTTATGGTTATGGGCCTACGTATTAATTAGGCCCAACTAGTCAATTAAGTTTGTGTCTTACAGACTTACACCATGATGTTAAGTGTTTTTTATAAGCCTAGGCAAAAAACCGAACCGAATGTACCGAATCGAAACCGAAGCAAAAAAAATCGAACCGAAAATTTGAAAATAACTGAATGGATACTAAATTCTATAACCGTAACCGAATCGGTACCAAACCGAAATATTTCGGGTAACCGAAATATCCGAAATACAATTATATTTATAGACCAAATAATCAAAAATACTTGAAAAATATATAAAAATAGTAAAAATACTCGAAAATAACTGAAATATATCCAAAAATAACCAAAATATCCGAAAATATCCTAAGCAAAATAACCGAATGGATACTAAATTTTAAAACCGAAAGAACCGAAACCGAACCGAAATTTCAAAATATCCGAATGGATACTAAATTTTGAAACCGAAAGAACCGAAACTGAATGGACCCAACCGATAACCGAACGATTAACCGAAAGCCCAGGCCTAGTTTTTTATTTATTTATTTTGGTAACAACTTTTAATTAAATATCAAAACAGTCATTCTTGAGAAATGTTGTTTACATATGTGATATAATACGGTTTGACACAAAATTTTCGTGTCAAATTATCCGCTTTAACATTTGCACAGCGAAAAATTAAAATAAAGAGAAACTTGTGAATTTTTCCTTATCGCTCTGAAATTCTTCTGAATACATTGAGAACGCCGGTCTTTCAGTTGGCGAAGACACCATTTTCACCAGGTCTAAACAGGCTGTCAAAAAAGGTACATCTTGGTTGTCGGCACCAATCATACACTTCATCGCCTAGAGAAGAGCTTCCACTTCTTTGTGTAATGGAGAGAGACTTCTACAGAAGTTAGAAGCTCCCATAGTTGGTGAATCATTATTTGATGATGTACAGTACCACCATGTTCCTAAAAAATTATCACTTCCTTTCCATGATCCATCCACGAAGCAACGATATCCGAAGTAGGTACTTTTGGGTATTATTTTTGGGTATCTTAGCTTATAGGTTTTTGGATATTTCGGTTAACTGTTTGGTTCTCAGTTCGGTTTTGGTTAGTTTGGATAGGGGATTTTACTAACCATTCAGTTATTTTACAAATTTTGGTTCGGATACGGTTCAGTTTTTTTAGTTCGGTTCTGTCGGTTATTTGGTTAACGGTTTTTTTGCCCACACCTACTATCACTTACCCGATCAATTCTTCTCATGAATACATTTTCTCGAAGTATGGATAAGAAGTATGTAAATCATCCAGTACTTCCTTTGTTTTGGTGCAACAATAAAGAATTCGATATTGATGGTGGGTGCAACATATGCTATCATCAAATTTTGGCACTGACTATTATTTATGTGCCAATTGTGATAAAAAAAATTCACAAAGAATGTGTCCAATCTCCAAACAAAATCAAACATTCTCTCCAACTTTCCATTTGTTTAAAACATGATCCTTATAATATTTACTGTATAAGTTATGGAAGAGAATCAGTATCTCTCGTATATTACTGTACCAAATGTAAAGCTAAAATGCATACAATATGTGCGATGAAACCGATACCCTCTTTGGTAGAACAATTAAAAAATCCATGACCATCCCCTCACTCTTTTTCCTAGGCAATCTTCACTAACTTGTAGCGTTTGTGGTATATTAAAAAAGCTTTTTGATAGAGTTGAGGTCTAGCTCACAAGGTCTATGGGCCCTTGTGTCTCCCCAAAACCTAGGTTATGAGGAGAGAAACCCATGAACACTTATATACCAACACTCCTCCTCTATCTTTACCGATGTGGGACATTATCAATACCCCGCCCATCGAACAGCGACGTCTCGGCGCTAGTGGCTTCGGGCCATACAAGCGGCCTTCACATCAGCCCATACCCGCGCCCTAGCCCATACCAGCCATACCGGGCCCGTGCTGTTGATGGGTGGTTCGGTTCCACGCTCAGCGCACCAATGATAGAGTTGAGGTCTACCTCACAAGGTCCATGGGCCCTTGTGTCTCCCCAAAACCTAGGTTATGAAGAGAGGAACCCATGAACACTTATATACCAACACTCATCCTCTATTTTTACCGATGTGGGACCTTATCACTTTTTCTCACCTACGTTTGCCTTGGATGTGACTTTGTTGCTCACGACGATTGTATGTATTCACAACACATCATCAAGATATCGTGGCACCATCATCGTATAGTATCTCCTATACTCCTTCTCTCCGGTCCCAAGAATGGTCTTGTGGAGTTTGTCGTAAAAGTATTGACAGTGATTATGGTGCATATACTTGTCATAAGTGTTATGCTTATGTTGTCCATTCAAGATGTTCTCTAGGGAAACATGTTTGGGATGGAAGAGATCTTGAAGGTGTTCTAGAAAAAGATGATACAACAAAAGATGTTGAGTCTTTTGAGAGGACATCTAAAGGAGTGATACTTCATTTTAATATGTATGTTGTTAAAGTTATAAATATATTTTAACAAACTTATTAATGTTCCTAGCTAAATTTTGCATATTTTTCTTTTCATTGTTTAATCATAATTAATTCGATTTTTTGGACTAAAACTAAAATTTGATATATATCTATAAAAAGGATATGCTATTGCTGCATAATTTGTTTTGAATGCAAAATATATAATTAGTTCACATTATTTCGAAAACTGTGTGCAATATATTATGGATTGGTATAAAGAAGATCCGGTTGAGAAGAAAAAAAAGAAAACACAAAATATTTCGAAGTTAATATGTACAATCTATTGTTTAGATATTTCCGAAACTTGCTCTAAATGAATGTCCAATATCGTTTTTTTAGAAATTGTGAAATAAAATTTTGTTTTATATTTCAAAATTTGTGAAAATATTATAACAAAACTGAGTCTTAAATATTTGTATTTAATTTTTTTACGAAATTTCAAATTCAATCTTAAAATTCTCCATTGATAAAATTTTTTAAACTATAGTATTTTTAATTTTGAATTAAAATGGTATTATTTTTCTTTTTATTTTTGATATAGAATAGTTTATTAGGATTGGTTTAGATAAAATTTAGTTGGATATCAAATCTTAGTTTTTCAATTCTCATTGGTTAACAACTTTTTAGAAAAAAAATTTAAATTTTCGTCCATAATTAATAAGAGAGAGAAAGTGAGTTTAAATTTTTGGAAACTAATAATTACTTTCAAGAATTTTATTATTTTTATTTAAATATATTATTTTGTGATTACTATTGTATTTTTAATGAATTTATTTAAAAACTAAAACCAATGGCATTTTTGTAATACTTTATACTTTATAAGGTTATTTATGTTTGAGTGCTTCCCAATTAATAATATAGAATTTATCTTCGTAATAATCATATAATAAGTTAATAACACACCTTTGAAACGAACGACGACGTTTTCGTAGCGTGCCATAAGATTGTCAAGCTAACAAAACTCAGGCGGAGAGAGAGGGAGAGATCAGAAACGGAAGAGAAGAATAATCCAGTGATGAATGAGACTATTCTCTTCTCTGATCATCACTCATTGATCGGATTTGCATTTTTGATTCTCGAATTCTGAATCATCCAATTGGATCAGATTTTTGATTCGACGTTCTCCGGTATTGATTTCGGTGATCGGAGAATTTCGCCATGTCGTGGGGATTAGGATGGAAGAGATCATCGGAGAGTTTCCGTTTGAGTCTCAGTTACGGCGCCGATGATCTAAACGACGATCCGATTCAATCACCGTCTGCGTCACCATTCGGATCTCCAACGTCGATGTCTTCGTCGTGTTCTTCTCCATCCGCGGTGGAGGATCCTGAATTAGGGTTCCGTATTGATTTAGATTGGACAGCAGGCGATTCGGAGGATCAGGTAGCGTTGCGATTGGAATCGCAGTTAATGGTGGCTTTACCTGCACCGCATGATACAGTGGTGGTTGAATTGAAGGGAATTGGAGATGGTGATGGTGTTATAGAGAATGTTGGATTAGAGATGAGAGTTGAGAAACGAAGGGAGCCTTTGCGAGCAGTTACATTGATGAAAGCGGTTGGTTCGGGTCAGCAGTATGATGGTGTAGGCGTTTTGACTAGGCTAATGCGGTCTGATATGATGCCTGCAGCCATTCCTGCGCCGGCTATCGATGTTGCGTCATCTTGTGGGGTGCATTGGAAGACTGTGACTTCGTTGAGTCTATCTGGTTGTGGTTTATTGGTATGTTTCTTGAATCCAAGGAAGAAAGTGGTGAAATGCATCAACTTTGATTAGGAAATGTCGTATAGGTATTTCATGAATGTAATTCTATCAAGATAAGCTCGTTTTCGTTTGACATGATACAGCTTTTGAACATAGGAGGAGAGATTCTTTTCGAAAATTGGGTTTTGCTGTTCCTTTTTTAATGCTTTGCAATGTTGGGCAGGTAATGCCAGTTGAAGTGACTGAGTTACCTCTGCTTGAGAAGCTATGTCTTGAGCACAATAAATTGTCAGTTTTGCCACCTGAGATAGGGAAGCTGAAAAATCTTAAGATACTTAGGGGGGGGTATTGAAGCAAAGAATGTCATAGAATTTAATAGAATGGATTTAAAGACATAAATACAGATTTGTAAGTACCTGTAAAGATTTTTTAAAATCTTTCTTTCAAATTCTACGAATATTCTACAACAATTTAATAGAATAGAAAAGAAATTTCAATAGAATTGAAAAGAAATTTCAATAGAATTGGAAAGATATATTTACAAAATTCTTCTACCTCTTGTTATTCCTCCGGAGAGCCTCCACGAAATTACTCCGGTGGCAGAAGTGACGGTGGCAACAGATGTGGAAGCCACTGCTGGTCACCGTAGCGGTGGTGACGGTGGCGATGGAAAGAAGAAGTGTGTGTGTTCACCGTCGAAGCATCCAAGATCGTTCAAGTGTAGGTATCATCAACATGAATATCAGTGGCTTCCTTCATCTTCTTCTTCATCCCTTCACAAATAACGCATCATCAATTTATCATGTAAACAATAATTATAGTTTTCTATTTTTATTATTCATGGTTATTTTGATTCGTTTAAGTATTTCAATCAAAGTAGAAATTGTGTTGTGGTTCTTCGTATTGCTCATCAACTCCATTAGATCATATCTATGTTCTATCAAATTCCCCTGTTGGTGGGAAATCTTTATTTGCAAGGAATGAAAGTTTCTTTGGTGTTTGTGGACTCGCTGTCGCATCTTGTTTGGACATGATGTCTTCTAAAACCCTTGAAGTTCCCTTACGAGAAATTTCTGTCGCTTATCGTTCTAGCACTCATACATTAGTAGCAGAAGATATTGTAGCGAAGACTGCCTTATCATTGAAGAACGCCCTCTTGTTGGCGTGGAATGAAGACTCTTTGGTTTTGCAATTGTTCTTGGACTCCCAGTTCATTGTAATACCTTTCAAGTCACTCGAAGTCACCGTTGAGCTAGGGAGAATTCTGCTTGTTTTAAGCTTCTTCCACCTCCGATTTATCCCCTTGTTTTTTGCATTAATCTCTTGTACTGCGTTTGTGTTTGCAGTTCTTTCAGTCCTTAGTGCTGTGTTTTACTCTTGTAATGGAGGCTAATCATTTTTTTTATCAATGAAATCAGTTTGACCAAAAAAAGATAGGATGCTACAGCTCTGTTCTTCCTTGTAAGCTTTTTATCCGCTGCGTATCATACTGCTTGAAGCCTCCCAAGTTAACCATCACCAAATCCGAAAACCTAGAATCAAATCAAACTCTCTTCTTAGAGGTTTTTGAAAATGAGATAAATAGTTTCTTGTTCACTTGGTTTCTACTTGATACGATCGTTGGTGTGATACGTTTAATCATGTATTTCCAAAAACGTTTCTTGGCTAGAAAACAAATGAACATGAAAAATAGCAAAGTCGTGACAGAAGGAGAGTACAGTGGATCTCAAAGCCTGAATCATGATAATAGCAAAGATGCTTCTTCCAGATCACTCGACATTGAGATTGCATGGTCCAATAGGACAACGGATGAGATCATTGAGAAAACAAACTACTCAATCTTCACAAGCACAATGCACTTGGTCATGGGAAGACTTAAATCTGTCTACTGCTCCTAATGACTGCATTTTGGTAGTAGAAGAAGGAAAGCAAAGTCTGCAGCAGATGTATAGCAATACGTGTATATGGGTAATGAGTATGGTGTGTGAAAAGGGACGTAAAAGCAAAGAGTATGGTGTGTAAAAAGGGACGTAGAAGCAAATAAGTCATTGAACAAAAAACAACCACTGCAACGGTTTCATTATTGTAACAAAATTTTATTAAATGCAAAACTTGAAAACTAAAAAAATCATCTATCAATGAATTTCCAAATTCGTGGCATCTTTCCACATGTCTTCAGCCATAGATTTTCTCCACATATTTGCGTTTTCTCTGTCTTGTTCTTGTGTCTCGGGAGGTTCCTCACTATCAATTTCATTGGTGTTCATTGCATTACCTTCATTGTTAACTGCATCACCTTCATTTTCAACTTCATCAGGGAAGTCCGCTTCATCTGATCGACATTCTCTACGAAGAAAGTTATGCAACGCTGCACATGCTAAGACTAATCCAGCTTGTTTTGTGTAAGAAAAAGGAGGAGCAGATTTAAAAATAGCAAACCGAGATTTAAAGATTCCAAATATCCTTTCGATCACGTTTCTCAAAGAAGCATGGCGGAGATTGAATAACTCATGTGGAGTTTCAGGATCGCGCCCTTGACCAGCAAATTCCTGAAGATGATATCTAACACCACGGAATGGAGCTAAGAAATTGAGACGATTTGCAAATCCACAATCAACTAGATAGAATTTTCCTGAAATTTTGGATGATATATGTTACTATAAGACATATGATCTATAAATAAATTTGTAATTGTTCTACCTTCTGGTACTTGGAAATTGTTTGTTCTTCTAGTTAATGCATCACTTAGCACTCTTGAATCGTGAGCCGAACCCTCCCATCCACTTAGAACATAGATAAACTCCAGATCAAAGTTACATACAGCTAAAACATTTTGAGATATTGTTCCTTTTCGATTACGATAGCTTGACGTCTCACGTCCAACTACTGTTGCTGGTATATGTGTACCATCTATTGCTCCAACACAATTCTGTTATAAATGCAAATAAATAATTAGTTAAATTTCGAAAAAGTTATATTGAACAAGGGATGAAGTAATGCACCTTAAAATATGGATAAAATCGTGTACTTTCTCGTATCTTCATTGGCACGCCATCAGGTTTCACCATCTGACTTGGAGCTATTATAAGCAAAGCTCTCAAAATTTTATTAAAGCTTGTGCTCACCGCAAACTTGGACCTTTTAAAGGTGTCTTTGATGTAGCAATATCTTGCATTTTGTCCAACTGTGAGCATGAAGATACCAAGCATCTCTTCGACAGATATGTGTATTGTGTTTTTTAAACCAGTTTTTTCTCTGATGATATTCGCTAGTTTCAAAAACTCTCTTGGATACATGCGGTACAATACCCTAAAATGTTGGGGGTCTTTCAATACCTTTTGCATATATTGTGCTCCGAGCTTTGTAACTGATCGACGAATCGGACGTTCAATATAATCAACACCCATGAGATGTCGTCGTGTGTTATGAATATGAGCTGCCACCGTCATCATTACCACCACTAAAGAGATGCTCGTATCAATATCATCATCTTCTATTCTCTCAATATTCATACTTGTGTCTTCTACCTCTTCATGTATATCATCATCCATCAAGAGCTAATAAGAACAATTAAAACGAAAATTTGAAAATTTGAAAAAAGCTTTACCTTAAAGAGTGCAAAAAATTATACAAAAATAATTGAACGAAACTTACAAAGGATTGATTATGGATGTTCTTCAAATTGTTGTTTTTGGAGATGGTCGTTGATTTTCTTTCTTTGAAAAGTGAAATATTTCAAATATTATATAGGAGAGGTAAGTTTAACAAATACTTATTTTTAGGGATTCTAGGATATATTGTTGATAGAGTTTATTGTAACAATAATTTAAAATTTAAATTGTTTCGAAAATCTACTAACGAATCATTTATAAGAATAATACACAAAACTTGCTAGAATATCCATAAAAAGTATTAACAAACATATTATTGTACAATAATTAAATGAGCAAATTCTTGTTGTTATTTCAAAAAAAATTATTAAACATCAACGGCATTCTTAACCCACCTACTACTCATATCCAACTACTAATCATTTGGCGTGAGAACAACAAAAGAGAAAAATTATTGATGCTCTGTTTTTGTTAAACATCAACGACATTCTTAACCCACCTACTAATCATTTGACCAAAGCAAAAGCACATATAGATATAAAGATCTAAAGAAAGACAGCTGAAACACTTTAGGAAAACAATTATTTATAAAATGTAAATTTTATTATCTTTAACTTCAAATCTAAACAATTATTTATTCTGAAATTAAAACAAAACTGATAGAAATTAAAAACCTACTACTAGAACACTTATTTTTAACTTTTGTTTTATTAGATGCATTGAAAATAACAAGCTAAGTGTTACGGCGAATCCAACCCAAGCGTTCTTCAACAGACATGCTCACAAATACGTCTTTCAAATTCAACGCGTGGATCTTGGTCACTGCATCGAAGCGGATATGATCTTCCAGATCCGGGATCTCCTTGATAGCATTCCAAACATTGTTCTTTTCTTTCTGAGTTTCTCTAAACTCTACTTCTCTTTGATGTCTTTCTTCTCTTTGTTGAATAAGATTTATGATGTTAGTGCCAACTCCAATCATTTCAGATAGCACCTTCTCTGAAGACTCACCATTATTAATTGAATCTGATGCATCTCCATTACGATTGGTTTTAGATCTTTTCCTAGTAGGCAGCTTTTCTTTAGGAAGTGTTTCATTTACCTCGTCATTAATCTCCATATGGTTCACATCATCCCTTGCTTGAAGATCTTCTTCTTCTTCAAAAGTTTCAGCATTTGAATCACCACCAACTCCAAACGCGTTGTTTCCCTTTGCTATAGCACTTTCGAAAATCAGTTGCAAATCCTCGAAATCTTCGAAAGTGCTGGTCCGCATGTGATGATGATTTGGATGCCCCTGAGAAAATATCATACATTTATTAGTTATCAATAATGACTAAAAATATCTAAATTTGGGGAAGTTAACCAAAAGAGAGTTACCATCAAATAGGCTGCCCACACATCATCTGGAGCTGTGAATTGTTTTGTGATGGGATCCCATCCAAAACCAGAACTAAACCGAAAAAGTTCAGAATACACAGAATACTCCTTTTTCATAGACTTCATTCGACTTAAATAATTTGTGTAAGTCTTATTGCATTTAAGCTTTTTATTTAGAAGAGGTAGTATTTTTTTCTCTACCGTAGTTTTGCTTATGGTACCGTTTTTGTCACGCCAGCCCCGTTTGATAGCATCAACTAATATAGCCGTTAACTCATAACATTCTTGATCTGACCATGACATATATGGGCCTTTCTTTTTCTTTTTTGACGTCTCTCCTGCCTGGTCTCCTGATTCCATTCTAAAGAAAAAAGGAAAGTAAAAAACACAAAGAAATCTTTCATATGGATCAAGAGAAACTGTAGTGTAGATTATTATATAAAAATGGATTAGAGAAACTTACGAAGGATGATTGTGGTTTTTCTTCAAACTGGTTTTAGGAGATGATCGTTGTTTTTTTTTTTGAGAAGTGAGGAAATGATTACCAGTATTATATAGGAGAAGTAAGTGTAACTAATACTATTTTTTGGGGATTTTACGATATATGGTTGATAGATTTTATAATAAACAATAATTTAATAAATTTCACAAGTATCGAAAATCTAGCAACAACATTCTTATCTAATAAAATTGGAGCATATCCATAAAGAATAAATAACAAACATGCTTCAGCACTGATGTGTATCAAATAATTTTTCTCACGTTATTGTTCGTCCAATAACAAACATGTTTTGTTGTTCTCACGTTAACAAAAACAGAGCATCACGATTCACGACTCACGAGCACACCCGAAACCTTGCAGATGTCGCAGCTACCAAAGCAACCGTGTCATTGTCATCTTAGCTTGTGTTCACGAGGATAAGGAGATCAATCCGAAGTTGTTGTGTCGTTGCCGTCGTTTGGCGTTGTTTCATTTTGAGTCACCGTGGTTGATTCTCGATCAACCCCGTCAGATAGAAAGAGAGACACGGCTAAGACATGGTCACATGGCATCTCTGGAGGTTACGAGAAAACAGGAGAAGTGAGGTCTCATGTGGAGATGTGATGAAAGAGGCAGTAATCTCGTTAACACAAAAATGAGAGAAAGGGAGAAGAGGAGAGAGAGAGCCATGAAGAAGAGGAGAGAGTTGGAGAAGTCGCACAGGTGGTGGAAATCACTGGTGGCTCTATTAGCACATGTCATGGTTGTGGAAACTCTCGATGGTGGTGAAGGATCAAGCTTGGAGCAGATCAGAGGTGGAAAAGAAGATATGTTGCACATGAGGCTCTTGGTTGCTCCAGAAGAGATGTCAATGGGAAGACGAATCATTTGAGGGAAATTTTGATGAGGTCTTGGCTCCAGAAGAGATGCCAATGAGAAGAAGACCCATTTGAAGTCCGTACGTCCTTTTTTTTTTCCACCGAAATCACAACGTAAAGGCTCAGAATTTGTTCAATACATTTTACACTAATGTTTCTATTAATTTCTTGTCAAATAATGGTGTCATAGAATTTTACGTAACATTGAATAACACTTGAATTTAATAGAATTAAGAATTCAACAAATTGAATAACACTAGAATTAAAAATATTTCAAAAGAAAGGTTACAAATACTTATCTCAATAACACAAGAATTTAATAGAATCTACAAAAAGTCAAAATGAATAACACTAGAATTCAAATTCTGTTTAATTCTATCAATTTCCTTCGTCCAATACCCCCCCCTAATTTAGATTTTTAGAATATTTCTGTGCCAGGTGAGTGTAACCTGACAATTCCTTATACTTGTTAATCACATAACAGAAAAACATGTTGGAACTGATGTGTGTGGGTTTTGTTGAATTGTCGTTGGAACACAATAAACTTGTCCGGCCTCTTCTTGATTTCAGGTCATTGTTGCAGAGAGGTGGTATTACTGTTTTGCTTTATTATTTAAGTATGAGCCTGATTAGTTATTCGATTGAAATGCAGGGCGATGTCTGGGCTACGAATACTACGGCTTTTTGGTAATCCTCTTGAATTCCTTCCAGAAATTTTACCCTTGCATCAGCTTCGCCACTTGTCTCTTGTAAATATCAGAATTGTGTCTGATGAGAATCTAAGATCAGTAAATGTTCAGATTGAGGTAAGAAGAAAACTCATCGCACAAAATTTCTGCTACTTTTCATTCTCCAGATCATTAAGTTTTATTCTAAGGGTGAGTTTTCATGATGCCAGACAGAAAACACTTCCTATTTTGGGGCATCTAGGCACAAGCTAAGTGCCTTCTCTCCCCCTTGTATTCCGTTCTTCGTCTTGTCATCATCCTCTTCTAGCATCTACATTGGTGAAAATAATGCAAGATGAAGGAAACCGTTCTGTTATTGGTAAAGATGAAAATGCGGTGAGGCAGCTTATAAGTATGATAACTAGTGACAATCGCCACGTGGTATGTTGGTTTTTTGTTCTATGCTATGGGTTGAAAAAAAACTATACTTTCTTTTGGGAACAATCACCATAACTACAGGTTTGATAGGTTGAGCAAGCTTGTGTTGCTTTATCATCTCTCGCTCGAGATGTTGGCGTAGCAATGCAGCTGATGAAGTGTGATATTATGAAACCAACTGAAACTGTTCTGAAATCTTCGGCCCCGGACGAAGTTATATCCGTTTTACAAGTCGTGGTCACCTTAGCTTTTGTATCTGATTCCGTTTCTCAGAAGATGCTCACCAAGGATATGCTGAAAGCCTTAAAATCCTTGTGTGCCCACAAGAATCCTGAAGTAAGATAGCTTCATTTTTACCCTCCTAATAAGAAAACGCTATAGCTTCTTTGACTGAGTATCCTTTCCTTTAGGTTCAAAGACAAGCCTTATTAGCAGTTGGGAACTTGGCCTTCTGTTTAGAAAACAGTCGTATTCTGATTACTTCAGAGAGCTTGAGGGAGTTATTGATGCGGTTAACTGTTACACCTGAACCACGAGTCAACAAAGCTGCGGCTAGAGCTTTGGCAATTCTTGGTGTGTTTCTTGTATATCAAATCTTCATTTTTGCTTGATACTCCAGTTGGGCATTACATACAACGCTTTTCTTCTGATGACAGGCGAAAATGAAATTCTGCGACGTTCCATAAAAGGCAGGCAAGTACCAAAACAGGGACTGCGGATTCTCACCATGGATGGAGGTGGAATGAAAGGTCTTGCAACGCTGCAGATTCTTAAGGAGATTGAAAAGGGAAGTGGCAAGCCTATACATGAACTATTCGACCTTATATGTGGCACATCAACAGGAGGAATGCTAGCTATTGCCCTTGGTGTCAAGCTTATGACACTGGAACAATGTGAAGAAATTTACAAGAATCTAGGTGTGTAGAATTTCCTTTGAGCTCTACAGCTTCTTTGACTTATTGGTTGCGGAACTCTGTTTTAAGTCTCTGAACTCTTTGTCCATTCTTGACTCCAAAACGTTTCTGAATATGAGTCCACAGCTCATGAGAGTCATCAAGATGTGACATCGAGGTAGAGATAGTTTCATGTATGGTGAGCTTCATCCATGAGACCACAAGGGTGTTATTAGCAACCCAATCTTCAAAATCAGGGTCTGTTTCAACAGGTTGAGCAATAGAACCGTCGGCGAAGCCAAATTTCTTTCTTGCTTTCAAGGCCAAACGCAGATTCGTGGCCCATTCATCGTAGTTAGGGCCACGCAAGAGCGGTTTGGAGATTAAGGTGCCTGGATTGTCGCCAGAAGTGAGGTCGTACGGCGTGGTGGTTCCGTGGAGGTAGACAGAGCTGATTCGGTGCTCATGGTGAAAAAAATTTTGTCGAGAAGAGATTGACAAACAGTAGGTCAAGAAAACGAGAGAAATTTTTTTTGAGATTTGTGAAAAACAATCACTTGCAGCGGAAAAGTAGAAGTCTCAAGATCAAAAACAAAACCCTTTAGTGGTTAGGTTTTGCTCTGATACCATGTCAAGACTTGAATGAGATTGTAAATATGTTTTCTTATTGAATACGGCAGCAATGCCTTATATACAAGTAGATGTATTAACCTAATTTGATCTATACAAGAGATGAAGTAAATGGGCTAAGGGGCCTTACAGCCCAAGAGTATTCAATCTAGGGCAAAAAAGTGGGGAAAATCAACAAACATTGATCAAGAAAATTTCATATCTTATATTTTAGGAATTGAGGGCTCTACTCTGTGTTACCTTAAGTATAGTTGTTTCTTGGATATATTTAAACTACTTATTTCAAGACAAGCATTTGAAATTGCGTTATGTAGTTCTGTTTTTACTGTTAGAGTAGAAATTTTCAGCTGACGTTGGCTAAATAAAACTCTTGTGAAGTAAGAAAACGCATCACACAATCTGTTTGCTACTTTTATTTCTTTTTTTACACTTCTTTCGTCATTGCTTGCACTTCAAGGTCGAAACATGTCAACAATCATCTTCTGGAAATTCGGGTTCAACAATCTCTTCATTAACTCAAAAAAAAATTGTTTCATTTAAGAGAACCAGCGTCATCAACTGAAGAACTTTATCCGAGTATGCTTCATTGCAGCGAGCAGAAAGGCAGAGTCAATATAAGATAATCTTAATTGTGCTTAACGGTGTTTGTTACAATTTGAGACATCTAAAACCCTAATTGTCACATGTGCTCTTAGCACATGATACACGATCCATGAAGATCCAATCGGTTATATAGGACGATTTGATCCATACGACAACTCACACTTCTTTTTCTGCATTGCTTTGAGTGACCTTCCGCAGTTTTTGTCGTTTCTTGCAGGTGAAGAAAACCGTTAAATTCGTTTGTAAAAGTGACATCATTTTGTTGTTTTGCAGGTTTGGCTGAAGGAACGATGCCGTTTTGAGGAGCCTCTGCATCCATTGGAGTCTTCTCCTTATTAAGAGAAATGTGAACAACAGTCGGGTAGATCTGATACTAGATGCTTAGGTTAGAGTTGCGTCGGAGCAACTTGGAAGACCTAAATATATTGGTTACGCAACTTGGAAGACCTAAAGATATTGGACTGAAGCTGATATGGCTTATTTTTGCTGCTAGTGGATCATTATGGGTCTCATGGGTTAGGAGAAACCTAATTGGACAGCAGTGCTTCTGGGATTTGGATTACTCAAACTCTGGTAGTTGGATATGGAAGAGCTTTAGCTAGGCCTTTCATCGTGTGTGAGGTCAACTCTGGTATTACTTGCAACTTCTGGTCTGATAATTGGACTAGTTTAGGTCCTCTAATTGATATTACTGGTGATATGGGTCCACGGGTTTCTGGCCTAAGTCGGACTGCGGTTGTAGCTGATGCGATTATTAATGGTGAATGGTGGTTATCTCGTAGTAGAAGCAGAAATAGTATCATTCAGTTGCTTAAAGCGTGTCTTCCTCCGTCATCTGTGGTGATTGTTCATGAAGAGGATGTTAATGATGATACTTATTTGTGGAAAGTCGGAGAAAGTGAAGCCTCAAGTGTGTTTACATCTGCAAAGGTATGGGATTTCTTGAACCCTCCTGGTACTACTGTGGAATGGTTTGATGCAGTGTGGTTTAAGGGAAACATTCCCAAACATGCTTTTGTTGGCTGGCTGGCAACTCGTTGGCTGGCAACTCGTCATAGGCTTCACACTAGGGATAGGCTACTTAATTGGGGTCTTGTGGTACCTTCGGTGTGTCTCCTATGCAATACTCATGATGAGTCAAGACAGCACCTCTTCTTTGATTGTGCATTTGCTGATGAAGTTTGGTCGTTCTTCACCTCAAGGCCCGTGTTTCGCCCCCGAACAGGTTTGAAGATGCTGTCATTTGGTTGAAGTCTTCCTCTAGGGACAAGAATATAGCTCTCATTCTTAAGCTAGCCTTCCATGCCTCAATATACCTAATCTGGAAGGAACGTAATTCTAGGCTGCACGGTGGCTCTCCTAGACTGCTTGTTGCTCTAATTCTCGAGGCCAAAAGCCTCATCCGGTGTCACCTTGATCTGCTCTCTAGGGAACATAGGATCTTGCCTCATGGCCTATCTTATCTAGCTTCTTGGTTTGGAGTTTTCCAAACTTAATGTGATCCTTTGTATTTGTTTCTTTCCTGTATTGTAGGTGTTACTCTCATAGGAGGCTTTTTGTTTATGTGTAGATTTCCAGCTTCTGGATCTACTTTGAATGGTAAGTTGAAAAAAAAAAAAAAAAAAAAAGATATTGGTTAAATTTTGAGCAAATTTGCACTATAACGGATGCAATATCCGGTGATGACCTTCTAATTGACACAGAGGGGTCTGAGCCCAACTAATTTTTGTAATCAATGAGGATGGTAAATATTTCGTTTTGGGTTTGCTAATTTTCAGGATTGGAGTTCAGAATAAAGTTTTTGATTATCTGGAAAGAAATATTTATTTTCAAAACATGGAAATCTTAAGAAAATGTTCGATAACATAATCTTTTGTGTTAATGAATGTTTCATAACATAATTATTTTTAGGTGGTTTACCATTAATCATGAACGTCTTCTTAAGCTAAAGTCAACTATATGCACCTCTTTTAATTTGTTTTAATTTTTAATCTCTAGAGACTAATCAATTGGTTTTAGCCTTCTACAGCTTCTAGCTGTCAATTGTAATGCAATGCCTAAGTTTATTTTTTTCAATTAATCAAAGATCAAGACTTCTTTACTGGTAAATTTATTATTACATAAGTCTTCTTTAATTAATTAATCAATTGATACAGCGTTATTGGACGTGAGCCCCACCATACTAAATGCTCACAGCAAGAACAGATCTCAAATGCATTATTTTATTTTTTTGGTAGGAAGATCTCAAATGTATTGTAGAAATTTAACAACTTAGAAATATATTAGGAAACACACTACAAGTGGGTTTTTTTATCATAAGCTCATTTAATATGTAAAAGCACAATTTTCTTGATCAAAACAAATTAAAATCGTGGTTCAGTACTCCTTTCAAGTCAAACTTTCCAAGTGGGAATGCTTTATATATTAGCTTAGAATTAAATAAGTATCTGTGATTTAATTAAACTAGGATTTCGTTTTTGTTTGACTCTATCAATTATACTGATTGCATCTTTTTTTGTTTGACATTATGTAGGTTTTCATTTTTTTATTGTCAACTGGCATTGTATATATTGTGTATATAAATTACAAATATATTTGGTGATGAAATATTGAAAGGTATGTTATAACTTATAGAACAATGGAATTTTACAACAAAAAAAAAAAAAAAAATACAAGTTTTTGTCAATCATAGTGAAACTCTAAATGATTTTAATAAATGAATAATTTGTGTGGATGTCAAAATCCAATGTGATGATTTAAAAATATTGTGAAAAAATCAGGGTAATAATTCCAGTAGATAAAACACATGAATAAGCTAAAGATTTCACTAAATCAAGAAATAATTGAGAATGACAATATAAAATGATATTATTTTTAATGTGCGGGGCCGAATTAAAAAAAAAAAAATCGGTTTAAATTAATTATGCCCAGAGAAAAGGAGTAGCTCCTTTGGTTGTGATCCTCTTATTTTGTCATGAGCTTGGATAAAATTATCTACCTCACCGATTGGTTCTTGAAAGTTATTAATTAGACCTAATCGTCAGTTTTTAAAATACTTACGCCAATGGTAATGGACACTTGTTTTTTTTTTTTTTAGACGCTACCTTCAAATTTATCCTTAAATTTTACTTTGTTAACAATATCAGTTGTAATTACTTTGTACAAAAGAAAAATGAGTAATCCCATTAAATTTGAAGACTATCATACAATTGTGAAAAGTGTATTTTAACGCCCCAAAAAAACAACCTGTATTTTACATTCTAAGAAAAATATGTAATTTACATCACATAATCGTTAAGTGTTAGAAATATACTACACATTACACAAACAAATATAGAAATGATACTTAAATCTCAAATAGCTGAAATATTAACTCTAAAAACTGCATATATAAATATATGTATATATAACTATAATATAAGTAAGAGTGTAAGACACATTGGTTTTTTTATACGAAACATTTATGAAAGACCATAACTCAAATCCAATTGAAAATAAAGACTGCATCGAGCTGTAAACAGCGAATGAAAATCATTTTTTATTTGCCGATTAACCAAGTGTCTCAAGTTGACAGAAAAAAAATTAAAAAAATCTCAACTGGCTCAATTGTTGATCACGAAATAAATAAAAAATATCAGATCAACAGATAATTTTAGAAAGGACGAAAACCATGTGCAAGACTAGTCGACTTTGATTTGTTTGTATGTATATATGTGAGAGAAGTAGAAACCGAACATCATATCACAACCAAAAAGTCTTTCACCCAAAAGAAAAGAGAGAAAAAAAAAACTATCCAACTTACTGGTGGAGTAGCCATGGATTCGATCGGTGG